GTACTGTTAGCAAGATCTCATAACAGATTATAAGGAGGAATAATGAAGGCCTCTTGGTTGAACAGTCTCATCATTCAGGTTTAAAATCCATTAGGTTTTTTCTTTCTTTGTTTATTTTCTGTTGTTGTTGTTGTTGTTGTTGTTACAATTGTTAAACAGTTGGGAGTACTCCTGAGATCGGAATGATCCTAATGAACTCGGAGAATCTCTTCCCCAGAAACCATCCTTGTGAGCAAAGGCACATCTCCTTGCGTGCAGTTGACTGACTCTTGCACTCTTGTGCCAAGGCTTGCTAGGGACAGAGGCCACATTTGGAAACTACTTCAGAAATGATGTTTTTGTTTCTTAGAAAACAAGTGTTTCTCTCTGGTGCATTTTTAGCTTCACATTTCTTTAAGGGAGAGTATTGACTAACACCTTCAAGCTAATTCAAAGGTCTCTACTTAAGAAACAACCTACTGGTTGGTTTTTCTGCTGCGCCGTGACTAAAAGAGCCCAGTGTTGTCTCTCTGACTACATTGGACTCATTTCTCTTGGCAGTGTGAGCATATGTGTCTCCTTCACTCTTTCAAAGAGGTGTTTTGTTTGTGCGTTACTGTTTTTGTTTTAGTGCCTGAGCTGGTCAGTTTTAACTGCCACCTTAACACAATGTAGAATCATTTAGAAAGAGAGTCTCAATGAGGAATTATTAAGGTCAGGTAGGCCTGTAGATGTGTCTGTGGGTGGTTGTCTTGATTATTAAGCAATGTCAGGAGAACTAGTCAATTGTGGGCCGCACCCATTCCCTAGGCAGAGATCCTGAGTAATAGGAGAGGAGTCTCTCTGCCATATTATGAGGATGTGATATGATCACCTTCCTCAAGCTTCTCTCACTGTAACTTCCCCACAGAGATGGACTCTAGCTTGGAATTGTGAGCTAAAACCCTTTCTCTCCTAAGTTGCTTTTTGTCAGAGTATTTTGTCACAGCAACAGAAAGGAGGGTAGGAGAGCATCTACCCCTGCTTGACAGCCTCAAGCAGTTTTAGAGGTTTCCATGATTTGTGGCCCATCAAAATGCCAGACTCCCATGTTAATAGAAGAGAGTACAAAAGCAGATGTTCCACGTGCAGCAGTGTTCCATGTGCCAGCCCCTTGTATTATATTATATTATTATATATTGTATTGTATTATATTATTTCATTCCACCCTTGCTTAGCCCATACGGGGTGAGTGGTTTTGTCTCTCCTGCCCCCACTTTTAAATAGAGGAAGTTCTGAGCCTCAGAGGTCACAGTGACTTTCCCAAAAGCAAGCAGCCAGTGAATAGTAAACAACCTGATAGTCCCTGAAATCCATGCTTAAATAGGGAGTAAAGTTAATCTCTTTACTGTGGTAGAGGAAGCCAACCTTCAGCAGTAGTTCTTTACTGCTATAGAAACCATGACTGGGTTGATCATATAACAAACTACAGAAATAAGTGTATCCATGCCCAATTGATGCTATAACAAATTAATTACAAACTTAGGGGCTAACCCAAAATTTGTCATCTTGGTATTATTTGGTTAGTAGTTTAACATGGGTCTCACTGGGCCTTTTTTTTTTTTAAGCTGTTATAAGGTTATATTACACTAGGGGTGGTGCTTAAGGTGGAGTCCATTTCCTGACCCTTTGTGCCCTGCTCTCCTTGGCTTAGGGCCACATCCTTCCACAGCCAGCACTAAAGGGTAAAATTCATATCACTCTGGCATCTACACATCTACTACCCTCTTGCACACTCAAGGATTCATGTAATGATGACTAATGATGGATAATTAATCCAGAATTATCTTACTATTTTGAAGTCAGCTTTATACTAAGCCATCTGATACCTTTGTTTCCCTCTGCTGGGTAATGTAAAGTAGTCATAGGTTCTGGGGATAAACCTATAGTCGTCTTGTGTGGTAGGCATAACCCAAATGTAACATTAAGATGCAATTGCATCTGAGTGTATCGAGGGGCAGCCACTGAAGGTTTCCATTTTTAAGCAAGGATGCAAGTGGGCATTTTAGCTGCTATAACAAAATAGTGTAGACTGTTTGGGTGCTAAACAACAGAAATTTCTCAGAAGGCTGAGAAGATCCAGAAAAGGTATCAATGGATCTGGTGTCTGAGAAGAGCTAGTCTTCTTGGCATCATCTTGCTGTGTCTTCATGTAGTAAAAAGGGAATGACTTGGTTCCCTGGGTCCTCTTTTGTATGGGCCCTAAAACCAGTCATGAGTATGCTATGTGCCTGTTCCTCATGACTGTTCCTCATGGTCTTAGTTTCCTGATATTATGACCTTATAAGGTGTAGGATTTCAGCATAGAAATCTAAAGGCTGTTCTTATATGGTGCTGTGAGGATTTTGTTTTAAATGTATATGGTGTTTGGGGTGTTGAGGACTTTGTACAAGACACATTCGGTTGGTTGGTTGGTTGGTTGGTTGGTTGGTTGGTTGGTTGGTTGGTTGGTTGGTTGGATTTTAATTGAAACAAAAGGATGAATTACATCTCTGGCCCATATCACTCAACAACAATTGAACTACACAGTTGAACTATAATTGTGAATCTAGATGGGATAGTTTGGTTGAGATCAGGAGGTGACCTTTCCGGCTTTGTTAGCAGCCTTTCCTCCAAGGCTGCGTCTGCAAGATTGTCCTAGGTTTTGTGCTGAGTTCCAGAAGAGGCAGTTTCTCTGACAGTCTCAGAGGAAGTCAGGTGTCCCACAGGTGACTCACATTTGCTTTAGGATCTCCTTTGGGGTTGCCTTGACATTTCTCAGCTGTGGTTGTAAACCCCTTGCTCTGTCCGGATTCATTTAGTGTGGACAGTTCCTCAGTGTATGATCCCTGTATGGGTATATTCTATTTATAGCGATTTAGCTGTTGACCATTAAGCATTTCACAGAGCACAGTGACGCTTGAGTTAGTGGTGCAGATGCCACGAGTAGGTGCGTCTTCATGGGGTAGAAAAGCATGGATTTTAGTGCTACTTTTTCTCTCTTCCCTGGGGTCGAGTGTTCTGAGTCCTCAACCAGCAGCTGACTCTCGGATGTCTCTAGTATGCTACCAGGGCGCCTTGGTCGACTGACTTCTCTTACTGCTTCTATAAATGAAGGGATGAGCACTGTGGATTATTTTTGTGTGGTTTTTGTTTTGTTTTTTTAAGTAGAGTCTCACTATGTAGCTCTGGAAGTCCTAGGCTAGCCTGGACTCCCAGAGAGCTACCTGCCTCTAAGTACTGGAGTCAAAGTCATATGGCTCAAGGCCCAGTGAGTACTATATTTTATTAGAAAATGGGAGGATGAAAAATGTATAGAATTTACTATAAACTTGTAATTAGATACCTTCATTTAATAAGAAACATGTAAGCCGGGCTTTGATGGCACACGCCTTAACTCCCAGCTCGAGAGTTCAAGGCCAGCCTGGTCTATAGAGTGAGTTCCAGGACAGCCAAGGGTACGCCAAGAAGCCCTGTCTTGAAGAAAGTAAAGAAAGAAAAATGTAAAGTGTTCCATTTGAAGGAAGAAATTAAGACCAGTCAACAGGTATCAAGTAACATAGCAAGATGTGGTATGTTTCCCACAGGCAGAGATCTGGGGGGACAGAAGCAGTGAACATGTTGTTGAGATAGGTGTTCCTGCATGAACCCCTGTTACCATAGCTACTAGAAGTCTCAGTGTCCCTGCTTTATAGTCCTAGTGGCACATGGGGACATTGCTACAACTTGACTCATCAAAACTAAAAGCAGGCAGATCTGGAGGTGATAACAAGGCCTCCTTTTGTTGGTCAGTCTTCCAGGGAAAACCCTGTTGACGTAGACTAGGGCTGTCAGCTGGATGCCTTGGGGTAAACTCTGACTTCTCCTTGGGGCATGTGAAAAAGAGTCACAGCACTGGGGCTTCTTCATCTCAAAGAGAGAGGACTTTGATGCCAAGAAGAGTCACTAAGAATGACCCAGCCCAAGGAATAGTTGATTTGGGTCAGTACCAAATTATGCCAATGGTGTAAATGGAACCAACAAAAAGAATTTTCCATTCTGCCCCACTCCCACACCAGATTTTCTGCTTTCAACTTTCCTGTGTCCCATCCTTGCCTCATCTCCCCTCAGCAGGAAAAGGTGGGGGCTAGGGGCTTTCCCTGAGTTATTCAGTAGTTCAACTTTAGAAAAATCAATACACACACACACACACAAAATAGTTGGTAGTTTTTTTCAGAAAGTTTCCAAGAAGTGGCAGTGAGTTCATTTTAGCCTGTCTTTTATGGATTCCAAAAACAGAATTTAGTAAAAAAACAAAACAAACAAAAATCTACAAAAGAACAAAACAATTTGAAATAAAAGACTTGAGAACTAGTTAAAACAGGTAGAAGCAAGCTGAGAGAGAGACAGATTTCCAGTGGAGCAGGGCAATCTAGCTGATTTACAGGATGCCCTGAAAAAGCGTAACTGGGATTGAGGCAGCCTTACTTTAAAGACATCACAGTCAAATGTGGGTAAGCACTTTGTATGGACCTGAAACAAAGCAATTGTTTAAAAAGTTAGGTTTTGGGGTTTGTTTGTTTGGGTTTTTGTTTGTGTGTTTGTATTAGATTTTAGGGAGACCTGGGTGTAGTCTGATTGAAAACGTACAATGTACAATTATGAAAAAGCTAATAAATAAGAAGAGTCTAGTTTTGGGGAACTAGTGTGAGTCTGGGAAATGGCACACTGAGCCTACTCTTCTGTGTACATCATGATAAAATGTTTCAGATTAACTTTGATTGACCTGCCTTCCCTGAGGTCCTGACTTAAGAGTCTCAATGGCTACACTTTCATTCCTGGTAAGACAATCCACCCAGAGCTAGAAGAGTCCAATTCAAACCTGAAGATGCTCTGCGACAATTACCTTCACTTATCTACAGCTATTGGATAAGAAGTGACCTAGATACATTAGGCTTTTCACCCTCAGAGGACGGAGACAGAGCTTTGACAGAAGTACAAACCTCACCACTTTATCTTTGTAGGACATCCTTAAGGTCTCAGACCTTCTATGATGGAAGTCATTGCAGTGCCAGAGGAGTGTGCCACATCCCAATGGCTGAACCGTTTTGCCCCAAAACAAGAGAGGTTAGTAGTTTCCCTTACGGGTCTATCAGAACGGAACGCTGTCTGCAGGTAAATCAGTTGGCTGAGTAGGTATCTCTCTGCATCTGTCAGCTTTGGTTTTGAAAAGCAGTGGTTTTGTGATGAGCCGTTTCCCATGGCTGAGGATATCTCCATTAGTTATTTTAAGCAGACTCATCTCCTGCTGAGCCAGCTCTCCAGCCCCACAACTGTTTCTGATGCTACTAATGTTTCTTAAAACCTTGCAGTAGGCTGGGCGGTGGTGGCGCACACCTTTAATCCCAGCACTTGGGAGGCAGAGGCAGGCGGATCTCTGAGTTCGAGAGTTCGAGGCTAGCCTGCTCTACAGAGTGAGTTCCAGGACAGCCAGGACTACACACAGAGAAACCCTGTCTAAAAACAAAAAACAAAAAACCTTGCAGTAAGGAAGCCCAGAGAAGATGATCTCTGAACAGAAAAAAATCAGGAGAGCCATTCACCATTCTTATTTTGCCATATGTCTTTGGAGAGGCAGCAAGCCAAAAAAAAAAAAAAAAAAAAAATTCTTCCAAAAGGCCAGAGTCCATATAAAAGAGCAGTGACCAGACAGCTATACTCTGGAAAATGGCACTGGGCCAGACCTTCGATCTGTGTATGACAAGTGATACCTTATCTGAGTGAGTGTGATCAGTCAAGACCTCAGTCCTGATTCAAGCCCTGGCATACCCTTCCTGCCTGCAGTGGACCTGAATGTGTGTGTACAGGGTTAGATGGCCTCTTTTAGTGATCTAGGTTCCCTAAGGATATGATAGCAAAAGTCTACTCTACGTGTTTAGTTTGCTAAAGTAGAAAGATAAAATCTTAGACTGTCTGTGTGATTTGTGCTCTTCTCTTTCCAGGTCCTCATAGAAACAGCTAAGAAGCTTGGACTTCGGTGTCATTCAAAGGGGACGATAGTCACAATTGAGGGGCCTCGTTTCAGCTCCCGAGCAGAAAGCTTTATGTTCCGTACTTGGGGCGCGGATGTTGTCAATATGACCACTGTTCCAGAGGTGGTGCTTGCTAAGGAGGCTGGAATTTGTTATGCAAGCATTGCCATGGCAACCGATTACGATTGTTGGAAGGAGCATGAAGAAGCGGTAAGTGGGAGTCTCTTCTGGTCATGTGAGGTGTGGGCGTCAGCCATCAAGAGAATATCTCATTGGTTTTCTTTGGGTTTGTCTCAGGGCCTTTGTACATTGTTTTGCTTTGTTAGATATTTTCTGTAGTTCCTGTTGGAATATAAGATCTTCCACAGAGGGTGAGGGAGTCCTTATCTGAGAATCAACAGTGCAGGAACTAAGAGAAAGATGTACTTTGTGTGTGGTTTCCTTGTGTTGTTGCTATTTATGTTTATTTTCATAGAGAAGGAAAGCCTAGTAAGAAAACCTTGAGTCCCTATCCTGTTCATCATACTGTGGCCACTGTCCCAGCGCCTGTTTCACCATCCAGTTATACATAATACGGCGTCACCTAGTCATGTCATCTGCCCACCCACATGTACTTGCTGGCCAACACAAATGAATCCTGGTCCTTTGGTTTTAGCAAATGCTTTATTGCTTTATTCTCGCTACAGCTGGTAGTCGGGTGTTGCTGTGTATTTATTTATAGGAGAGTTTTGAGGCCAACTGTATCTGGCCTGACAGCTTAAGAGCTCCTCCCAGCTTCATGATCTAGAGAAGCTGTTTTCAATTAATGGGAAACATTAGCTCTTATCACTTCCTGGCAGCACATTGCTTCCTGTCTGATTTTCTACTCAGTCTCAAGCTAGACTCCTCTACAGAGAGAATGGAGGCTGTTATGCCATATGGGTGCTGGGAAGCAGATGGCTAGCTTCTGTCAGTGGGAAGGCATAATGCCACAAAAAGGACACACATAAACATGGCATCCACTCAAACAGCCGTTTGTGTCATTGTCCTTTAAACAAATTACAGCCTGACATGACAAGGTTCTAGAGTGGCCTAAACTCACCTCAGTTTCCTTGTGGCACTCAACCAGTTATTTAATTTTTTTTTTTTTTTTTTCTGAAATGAAGCCAGGACAAGCAGAGGAGTTGCTCTGCTTTGTGGGATGTGTGTGTGTGTGTTTGCCATTATAACCTGACAGAACAGATTGTGGGAAAGCTACCATAGGAGCTCCAGTGTCACACCCAGGAAGCAGGGAGAGCTAGACTGAACAAGAATGGGGCAGTAGCCTTCCTTCCAAGGCCATTGCCCTAGTTAACTGCAACAACCAGCTAGCCCAGCCTCCTAGTACTGGTTCTAATCTGTGGGTCACAACCCCTTTGGGGATTCAAATGACCCTTTCACAGGTTGCCTAGACCATTGAAAACACAGATATTTGTATTACAGTTCATAGTGGTAGCAGATTACAGTTCTGAAGTAGCAATGGAGTCAGTTTTATAGTTGGCGTCTCTACAACACAAGGAGCCATACTCTAGGGTGTCATAGCATTAAGAAGGTTAAGAACCACTGCCCTAAAGGTTCCACTGGCTGAGGAACAAGCATTCAAAAGTGAGCCTGTGCTGTACATTGCGGACCCAAGTCAGGAAGGAGAGGTAGAACTGTTCACACTGTGCAGAACTCCAGGCCTGGATATGACCTTCCAAAGTTCACCCCAACTAGTCTATTTTTGTCATCTACCTCTTAAAGAATCAACAGTCTCTCACAATGTTGCTGCCCAGAGGGGAAGAAGTGTTCAATCCATGAGCTTGTGGGAGGCAGGCAAGAGTCAGGTGGCAGCAAGTGGTGTGGAGAGTACTGTCTCATGGAACCACTGTCACCCAACTCCATGGAGTTGGGCATGCACAGAAGCGAACCTTGGAGGTTTGAGCACGACTTTGAAGTGAGGGTTAGGTTGTTGCTGTGAGACACAGGGTCAGTAGGAAGGCCATCGTGAATGGAACCCAACAACAGAAACAAAGTTCAGAATCAACAGGGAACGTGTATGAGCATGAGTAGAAATAAATAAAGTGGGTTTCTGACTGCCAGAAACTCCTGCAGGTGATGAAATTGCACCTTTGCATGTGTGCCACACCGTAGCCGAGCTTCCGCTGCTGTGGCGCTCAGGACTTCCGGGACTTCCTCGTGTCATGGTGTTTGTGGAAGCCATCAGGGTGAGGAGACACAAAGATGGAATCATTGTGTCCTTGGATCTTAGCTGTCCTCTAAGCAGGATAAAGCAGGGCAAGGATCTGGGCCTGACGGTCAACTTTTCCCTGTGAAGCAGTTCATTCATACACAAAGGCAGATAATAGCATGAGTACAAGTGAGCCCAGCCACGCTCTTTAACCAGTCACACTTCATCGGTACCTCCAGAATCTTAATCCAGAAACATTGCAGGAGACAGCTAAGTAATTAGATTATAATTATGCTATAATTACTTAATATGCTCAAGCAAATTTCTAGTACCTAGTTAAGTATCATAAATGACATGCATGTTATAAGTGACTCCTTTGTGCATGCACACACATGCAAATACACACATGAGCTTCTGAAGATCCAGTGTAGCACTCAGTATATGCTTGGGTAAGCATTCTGCCACTGAGCTACATCCCCAATCCTAGAAGTAGGGTTTTTTTGTCTTGTACAGAAACTTAAGATGCCAAGTACGGTTGGCATGCACCCAAACAGCAGCACTTGGGAAGCAGAAGCAGGAGAATCATGGGTTGGAAAGCAGCTTGTGCTACACAGTGAGGGGCTGCTTCCCAGCAAAAAGGATGAGGGACAGGGAAAGGGGTGGAACCAAGGGCTTGTCCTGTTGAGTCTCCCACTCTAGGTTCCTGCAAGCTTCATGTTCCACACGTGTCCCTCTGTCTTATGCATTGGATACTGGATCTAGATACAGAAGGAAAATTAAGCATCATAATGGTAGCTTGTGACTGGAACACAAAGCGAGTTGGGATTATTGTTCTCAGGTGGTTTGTCTTGGTTTGTTCGTTTCTTTAGGCTCTTGGGTGTAGTTTGTGGTGTTAACCACCAGTCCGTTTACTCTGAGTCATAAAAATAACAGTTTCTTCTTTTTTTTTTTTTTCTTAAAAGGTGCTTTTAGAATATTTAGCTCCTGTTTAGTTACCCAGTGTAGCAAAGTAGACCGGAATTCACTTTTCTATGGACCAAGAAGGGTGGTGGCAGCTGCTACTGCTGGTTGACATCTGTGATACTTTCTTGGGCTTTTCAGAAATAACATTAGAAGAAAGGCTTTAAGATGAAGAGCAGTGTTTGGGCTCAGGGGATTAAATTTGGAGTAAACAGACTTACAGCACAGGTTTGTTTTCGTCTGTTCAGGCAGCTATGATAAAATTCCATTAAAAGTAGCTTCTAGACCAAAAGGAAGGCCTTGTTTTTATAGTTCTACAAGTTGAAAAACTCTAAGAGCAAGACTGGCTATAAGTCTGGTGAGAACCCATTTCGTGGTCATATCTGCACTAAACCTCACATGACATATAATTCATGTCTTAGTTACTTTTAAATTGCTGTGAAAAGAACCATGACCAAGACACCTTAGAGAAGAAGCAGTTTACTAGAGGCGCATGGTTCAGAGGGCAGGATGTATGGGAGCAGGCTGGTAGGCATGGCGCTGGAGCAGTAGAGTGACCTTAGTCCCTTCCCCAATGGCACACCTCCTCCAGCAGGATCTCCTAATCCTTCCAAACAGTTCCACCAATTGGGCACCAAACATTCAAACAAAAGAGCTTAGGGGGCCATTCTCATTCACACCACAACAGTAAGGGAGGCTCACTGGTAATACCAGACCCCTTCCCAAGAGCACTGCCAGCCTGACCTAATTAATCTCCTGATATTCATGACACCTTCAGAGAGGAATTCCTTGAGATGACGTTGGAAGGGTTGCAAACACCAGAGCAAGATAGGGACATGGGTAAGTGTTCGGTGAAAAGTTGTTGATGCTAGTAAAATTCTGCGCTCTTCTTTCTCCAGGTGTCAGTGGATGGGGTTTTAAAGACCATGAAAGAAAATGCCAATAAAGCCAAAAGTTTACTCCTCACTACTATACCTCAAATAGGGTCGATGGAATGGTCAGAAACGCTCCGTAACCTAAAGGTAAGTGTCCTTACGTATGTAAGCAGACTGTTCTGTGGCTTTAACTATAGTCTGTTGTTTTTTACTTTCCGTTTGATCCATCTCCTTGTGCGTTTTATGCAGGCTGATATTTCTTTTTTTTCAACAAGCTTCTTTGTTATCTAGTGCCCCAGATTCTTTACATCGTCCTTCCATCTTGGTTCAGACAACTGATGAGCTTCCTCTGTGAGCTTCCTGTGTGCTCAGCCTTTTCTTCTTTGGTAGATTGATGCAGGCTGTAGGCAGGCCTTTATAGCCAGGATATCGATATATCAGTGACAAAGTGGAGGAAAATATCTGCGTTAGGCCAGTATTACATGAAATTAAGACAATTGTTAATGATCTGTAAATGACAAGTTGCAGATTGGTAGAGTCACAACTCTAGTATTTGCTCTAAGGATATAATTTAAACTGACTGTAAGCTTAGAGAGTGCCATTTTAATGACCGTTTTGTGACTTGATTAACTGGACTGAGTAAAGAGCCTCCCTGTCACTCCACCTTAGTTTTTTCTTGTACCTAAAGAGAGAGTACCTCCAGGTGTCCTAGAGCTTATCTGTGCTCCTGGATTCTTTGACAGTCGCTGAGAGGATGCCACAGATTGATAGAAGCTACCCCTACCTGAATTAGCACCTCCCACAGGAGTGAGCCGCACGGTTAGCATAGTGAGCCCGTTGTAAAGTAGTAAATGATTAATACTGTTTTCTGTCTCACGTGGACTGCCACAGCACAGCCAACGTAGAGCCAGCCTGAAGTTGGAGAGCAGCACCTGTGAGCTGATACAAACAGGCACTGTGACCATGGTCTCAGCCTGTAGGACGGGGAAGGCCAGGAATGTTGTAATATAATGTCTTCCCTGCGAGGAGATACCCCCACTGGTTTCAGCACCAGATATCTAGGAGATATATATTTACTTAATGAGTGCATAATTTCCCTCCCATGAAGGGTTCTATGGCAGCTAAGATGCACCTGGGGAGGTGGGTGGTTGGGGGGTCCACAGGAGATAAAAAGTCTTCGAATTACAAAACAGTGGTTTGAACAGAACAGTTTCAAACAGATATACTCAAGCCACTCAAAACTTCGTTTGCCGGAACTATGGCTCACTGTGTTTCAAGTCAGTTTCAGACTCATAAGATACGATCATCCAGTTGCGAACTTTTGGTCTTCCTGATAACCTTGTGCTCACCGCCATTCCACGTTCCAAGTCAGTTCCTTAAAAGACATGTTGAGATGGTACAAATCAGCGATCCTTTTGAAGCTGATGTTGTGTGGTCATATAAATATTCACTTTAAAGGGAATTATTTAGTGTAGCATTCATCAGATTTCAAATGAAATAAAAAATTGGAGGTTGAAGAATTGTCTTTTAGACAAGCTTGAGTGTTGTGACCTCTGCTCTGGAATGATAAGGAACATGGGGCTAATAATTTTTACTCTGAATCATCTAGGCACTGAAATGTATGTTATGAAATATATATCAGTCCTTCACTCACTAGTTCATTCCACAAACACCAATCAGCCCACTGTGCCAAGCTCCAGGTTAGAACAGAACTCAGGTGCAGGGTATGGCAGCACACGCCTTTAATGCCTGCAGTTGGGAGACAGAGGCAGGTAGATCTCTGTGAGTTCTGAGACAGCCTGGTCTACAGAGTGAATTTCAGGTCAGCTGGGGTGACATAGTGAAATCTTATCTCCAGAAACAAATTGTAGGACAATACCCAGAGATCCCCTGGGATCGTGAAGATCCCATTGTGTTGCTGATTGAGGCACATTAAAACTTCAGTGACTTTACCATGATACAGGATAAGGGGTAGAAGCCAAAAGGGCTATAATTAAGCTGAAAGACTGTGGAGGAACATGTGTGATTTTCACAACAGTCCCCAGAGATGAGCACTGCTAACCACAGTTGTTACAGAAGGAAAGGACAAATAAGAAATCAAAGTTGTTCCTAAGGTCCCACGTATGGTTAGTGGTTCTCCTTAGCTACATTTTTAATTTCTGTGCGTGTGTGTGTATATGTGTGTTTATAGACATGTGTGTGCCATGGTGAGTGTGTTGAAAGTTAGAGGGCAGCTTGTAGGGTTTGATTCTCTTTCCACCGTATGGGTTCCAGTAATTGAGCCCAAGTGTCAGGCTTCGTGGCAAGTACCTTTACTCCGTAAACCATTTCACCTGCCCTAATTAGTGTTTTTTAAATTTTGATTAATGTGGAAAGTATCTGAAAAGTTTTGATAAATATGTGTCCCATGAGACCTTCCTATAATTCACAACATCTCAAGGATTCTGTTGTTTTGTTTTCGCTTTTTAAGTCTGTTATTGTTGTTGTTGTTGCTGTTGCTGCTGGTGTTGCTTTTCACAGAAGTGCTGGGGTCGTTATGCTGTCTGCTGCCTGTCATCTCTGCTCATTTTTTCCCTTTCAGAACATGGCCCAGTCTTCCGTTTTACCACCAAGACATTAAAACAGCATGGCTGACGCAAGAAGACTCTGCTGCTAGTCTTTGGGGGATTTTGCTTAAACACAAATGGGAAAGATCCGCAGCCTTCATGCCTTTGCCTGGAAAGAGAGACACTGTTAGAGACACAACCAAAATCCCGACTTCTCTGGAACCCAGAAGGAAAGCAGACAGCCTGCTGAAATGTAAGGGAACCAAGCCAGCGAGCACATCTGTCTCATTTCTCCCGATGAAACTGACAGCAAGGAAGACGGGTGAGAACATCCACTTCCCTACACTGCTAAGGAGCCAATACAAGCCCGAGATGGGACCGTGTGTTTGTAAGCTGGCACCGTGTTTTCTGCGTATTGGTGTTCTAGGAGTTTCTCTTGAAGAAGTTATGGGAGAATCACTCAAAGAATCATGTGTAAAGAAGGATATTACCTGTCTTAGTAAAATAATCAAAACTCTGAAATATCAAAAAAATTAGGTGTGCTGTGTTTCCGTTACACCTAGGCTATGGAGCAGTCAAGTCGTATTCATGTTTCCTCACAAAGAAATGATCAATCTTTACCTCTACTTTTATGTATAATCAAATAATAAAGTTGTAAAAGTTAAAATGGACTTAGAGAACTCTGAGACTCCTTTGGTGGTGAAGCAAAGATGACAATATTGTAAATGTCCTATGTATGTGATTCAAGATATATAAGCCAAATAACCCCCTTCCCCAAATAAAGAAATAAAGAAAAGTGCTGTGTGAGGAGCTTACATCTTTGCTTAAGAAAGATCCTGAGTCACCACACAGCTACTACTATTGTAACTGAGAAAGCCAAGGCAGGAGTTTAGTGCTAACATGTATAAAAAGTCAAGACTGCTTCATGGATTAAGCCAGTATGACTCAGTACAGTGTATCGGGCATTTTTTTAAGTTACTATTTGTTTTTACTCCTTATTTAAGAATTGACACATAATCAGTTAGCACTGTTTTCCTTTGTTTCAAAAAAGAAAGCAGAAGCCTAACTTTTTGTGTTTTCAAGTTACTGTTGTTACAGGTGCCCTCCAGCTCTTGTAAAGGGTCTGTAAAGTGAGTGTGCTTGTCTGAAATTGACTTCAAGATAAATAATAAGCTGTTGATTGTAAGCAATAAATGAACTCTGCTCCAGCATTGTTGAGGCCCTGGATAAGTGCAGTTGTAACCTCCGGCCCATGTTGCAATGCTTCCATCTCTGGCTATTAGCAATTCATGGAGACTCCCTCGTGAGTCCTGACCAGGGCTTTTGGTTGGTTTTACTCACTGCAGTGTAAACAGTTCTTTCCCCTTAGTCACCATGGAGCAGGCATCAGTCTTGTTGCCTTTAGAAATTAATGCTCTCTTCAACATGGAGAATGGTTTTCTTCAGTGGCCTTTCTAGCATTGTCATGTGCAGACTTCTTTTTCCTTAATCCTTCATTATGATGATAAAATATGCATATAGCGACTAAGTCTGGTTCAACATGATGCTGTCCGTTTCATCCATTATCCTACAGATGTCATAATTCCACTCTTTCCTGACAAAATGAAATCTCATCCTGTATCCTTTCCACATCCTTTATCCAGTCATTTGTTGACGGATGTGTGGGCTGTTCCGTAGTGTAGCTGTTCCGAGTAGTGTTTCAATACATATGGGTGTGCAGACTTCTCAGATGACCAGATTATACTTCTGTGTTTGTGTTGGGTCTTGGCTGTTGCTGTTTGTATAGAAACTCCACTTTGAGAACCACTATCTAAACCATTTGTCTGGTTGGTCTTTAGACAATTTGTCTGGTCAGACCTAGTCAAGGGCATCACTTGGTCCACTGTACTTTTTTTTTTTTTTACAACTTTTTATTGGTTCTAATTGGTTGAATTTCTCATCATTCACACCAATCCATTCATCTTCCCTCACCTCATACCCACCCTCCACCCTCACCACCTCCTCAGCCAACAGAACTGTTGTGAGTGTCTCACGGTGTGTCCCATAGTCCACATTTCTTGGCTTACAAATGTTCATTGCATTGAGTTCTTGGTCTGGCTTCTGCTACATTAGCAATACTGGGTCCTCACTGGGACTCATTTCATATATGTTGTCCTGTGCAATGGAGATCCTGTAGTGTTCGATCTGTAGGACCAGCTCCTTGACTCACTACAGCAGTTCATCCATGGGGTATGTGTTGGGGTGCACCAATTCAAAGCCTTGGATCTGGGCCTGAGGTATCTGAGCTGGTCAGCCCACCAGCCCTCCTGCACCCACACTACCAGGACAAGCTCTCCTCCCTCTTGCCAGCTGGCCCATCCAATGCTACAGCCAGCAAGGGGCAGATCCAGCTCTCCCATTCAGGGCCAGCAGCTCTACTGTGCCACTCAGGCCAGGTGCATTCTCTGCTGAGTTCTGCAGCAGGTGAGGGGCTGGACTGGCTCTCCTGCTCTCTCAACCGTAGGGCCAGCTCTAGGTACAGGGTCTGTTCTACTTTCATGACTCCAGAGCCAGCAGGGGAGGAGAGCATCTCTCCTTCATCTGTGACAATGCACAGCAGACAAGACAGGCCCTGTTCTCTCACATTCAGGCCCTTGAGGGCAGCTCATCTATGACCCCCACATCCAGAGCCAGTTCTATTATATTGTCCAGGTGAGATGCAGGGCCAGCTCTCCTGTCTGCCCTAGGTAGCAAGGGGCAAGTGGTAGGGAGGGGTCATCTCTTCCTTACCTGTGTCATGAAGACAGGTTGCAGGGCCAGCTCTTCCACACTCATGCTCTTGGGACCAGCTCATCAGTGACCTATCCACCCATCTGGGATCAGCTTTACGACACTATGCAGGAAAGGTGCAGGGCCTGCTCTCCTGAGTACTGCAGCTGGCTAGGGATGGGGTCAGTTTTCCCATGATGCCCAGGTGGAGCCATTTCTATACAACCCTCAGACATCAACATGTCCCCAGGTGGCAGTCCAGACCAGAAGCATCCACCTGCATCACCGACCACTCACATAGGGCAGTACCTCATTATCCTCTCATCTCCAGTTCTGCCTCTCTTGCATTGTGCCCACATTCTTCTCTTTCTCTTCCATTTCTCCACCACTTACTCGCTCCTCTTCATGGCACCCAAGGTATCTGAGGCACCTGGCAGGGGTCATCTCAGGCATAGTCTGCACCGACAGGCCTACGTGGTGCTGGCCTGGTAGTCATCTCAGCCTAGCTCTGTATCTAAGTCATCTTGGGCTCTATCTAGCCTGGGGCCCATTGTCCCAGGTGGGATTCTTCTAATTTCTAGTTTGCTCCTCACCCTGGGAGCCTGTCAGAGCCTGCACCATGCTAGACTAGTGGTCAGTTAGAGAGACTAGCTCTCTGTCCGGGGGGCCTCTTGGCACTGGATTGGTGGTGGACTCAGGCTTGCATTTTTCAGGGGTTGTTAGGATACTGATCATTCAGATATTCATAGGTCAGAACACTGAGCATAGTCATAGCCTCTCCTCTCTACCACCTACTGACTCACATGCACACAGCAGCCACACCTGCAGTGCCTCTAGGGGCAGGCTCATTGTACTTCTGTTTTAACTATTTTACTCTCTATTAGGTTCTATCAGCACACAAATATGCTTCACTTCTCCGTTTCAATATGTGTATGTGTGGTGCTGCATATCAACCCCAAAGCCTTGTGCGTGCCAGGCTAACACTGTACCATGGAGCTATACTTCTTGGCCTCCATTACAATTCTTTGTTGTCTGATTTCTTTGGCTTGCTTTGGAATAAAATCCTTTCTTAGTTTTTTGTTTGTTTTTTGGTTTTACCTTAGTGTATATACAATACCCTCTGTTGCTGTGATAAAATAACTTGACAAAAGCATCTTAAGGAAGTATGGGTTTATTTTGCTTCTCAGTTCAAGAGTGCAGTCCAGGGCTTGAGGCAACTGTTCATATTGCATCTACAATGAAGAAGCGGAAAATGATGAATGCTTATGCTTAGCTCATGTTATCATTTTTATACAGTTCAGGATCCCAGCATAGGGAATGGTGCCACCCATACTGGGTCTACTCAAGTTGGATGTTCCCACTTTAGAAAACCTAATCAACAATAATCCTTAACAGGCATGCCCAGAGTTCATCTCCTGGGTTACTCTAGATCTCATCTAGTGTTGACAACTGACATTAAGCATAACATTCTCCATTCTCTTGCTCAGTTCCAGTTCAAATTTGGACACCTCCAGTACCACTTTGTTTCCCTTGATCTAATCCACTCACTATCTGACAGCCCATTCTCTGTACTTCCCAAGCACTTTATTCTATTGTTACACTGTAATAATTGCCAATTTCATTATTCATTGGCATGTGGTTGTATTTAGTATCCCTAGATTCTTTACACAGCAACTAACACAGAAGAAGCACTGTTTGTACTTCTTAAATAAGTCTGCAAGTCTATGAAAGCTTGGCCTATTTGTATTTCAACCATCTTTACATTTTCACCTGGAATCACTGGTTCCATAGAACCTTGTTAGGCGAGCCTGAAGTAAATAGTCCACCCTAGGTATTTTCAGGCCACCTAGAGTCTGTTACCCAAGGACCATTTGTTATAATACACAACATAAAGCCATATACATAGGCTGTCTCCCAACTAGATAGTAAAAAAACTGGAAAAATGGAAAATCTAGAAAAAATGGCTTATGTGTTAATTGTTCAATAAAAATACAATGAGTTATTTAATGTATTGCCTGATTTGAGTTTTATACCTAATAATATTTTTCCTGCAATAAATTTTCTTCCTCTTTAATCTATGATGTTTAAAACTATCTGTTCTATGGTGTTTAAAACTGTCCTTAATTGTTTATATTTTAAAATAATTTTTTTTAAAAAAGAAAAACTCTACTTGTTGGAGGTCATCATAGTTGCCTTGGGTCCTCATAGTTGCTTATTAGAATGAAATTAGTATATGTATACATATTCATTACATTTATTTAGTGTGTGTGCAAGTGTGCAGAGGTCAAAGAACAACTGTGTAAGTCAATTCTCTCCTACCATGTAGATTCTGGGCATCAGACTCAGGTGGTCAGACATGACGTCGAGAGCCCTTATCCACTGAACCATCTCACTGGACCTTTACATGTATCTTACACTTCATTATAGTGACTATCTCTTTGGCACAGGGAAAGTCTCCACCGTCAAACTCTCACTAAATATTCACATAATTCACAAACCTTATTCTTGTCTTTTTTTTTTTTTAACTCATGGGCCTGATCTTGGATAATCATTTAAGAAATACTTTTTTTTTTTTAATTTGAGGAATGTTTTATTTGGTAAACTTTGGACAACAAGCTAGAGAAAAAAGCAAACTGTTATACAACAGCTGTCAAAAGCTGACCTGTGCAGTGTACAGTGAGCACTAGCCTTTTACCTTCTATCACTCTTACACATTTAAAGATAAGGAATGAGTAGAAACCATTACTGTAGATCAGTGATTCTCAGCAGGTCGTAAGTCTAACGGCCAGAGTGATAACAGAGTCTGCCTGCCTGTCAGTAACGATCCAGTTCATGACAAAAGATTATGGTGGATATTTCAGTGGGTCCTTCACCCCAAAGTTCATCTGTGGACTATTTTAGTGGAGAGGCATAGAGGCCCATAGACCTCTCATGAATTCATGATTGGCTGTTGGTGGGCAGTCTTATGTAGGTCCATGGCAGGCAGCCATAGCTGCTGTACCATAACTGCCTTGACTATGCCATGCCTAGAACACAGCATCTCACAGACTTTATGTGTGATAAAATGTTCTGTTTAGGATTAAGGACTTTTGTCCACTCCTCAATACTACTGGGTGAGGAATTAGCTTCCTAAATGTGAATTTTCAGAAGACTTATATTCTAAATGCAACAGTTGTTCTTAAGACCAAGGCATATGTCACACCTTTGTAAGTGATTCCATTTTTTCCAGCTCCTTGAGCCTGATGGTCCTGGGTAAACTCAGTGACTCCCAGCGCAGGAAAGAAACCACAGCGTTTGAAAGAGATTACAGGATGGAGCCAAAGGTGATGATCGGAGTGGGATGAGAGGGAGATTGGAGAGATTGATGGGGAAAGATTACAGTAACCAGCATATATATGTATGAAATTACCAACAAATTCAAAAAGGATTATAAAACTTTCTTAAAGATAATGGTGCCATAGTAAGGCCGAACCCCAACATTCACATGTCCCTACAAGGAAAAGACTGTTCCGTTAGCAAGTGAGCATGGTGGCAGCTTACTGTTACTACAGCCCTATGGTGGTAGCTTACTATGGCTACAGCCCTATTATTATTTTTTTCAAGTTGTATCTTGTCAACTTGACCAAACTACAGGGTAAAGAGTAATAAGGATATACTTGTGTCCATAACGAACAAACTGAGGCTTCTGGTTCTTATATTTTGTTTTGGGTTGACCTAAATAAATAGAATTATTTGATTATCTTGACAGCTACTTACTGCTTTCTGCTCTTTGCAGTATCATAATTTGGAGAAACCAGGTCTGTGAAGTTAAGGCCACTTTGGACATCACTTACAATGGTGTGACGTATGCCTTGGTCTTAAGAACAACTGTTGCATTTAGAATATAAGTCTTCTGAAAATTCACATGTAAAAAGCTAATTTCTCACCTACTAGTATTGTGGAGTGAACAGAAGTCCCTAGACACCCCAAAGGACCTTACATGATCCTTCAACCATATTAAGACACAGCAATAACAGTAGTAGTAGTAATAATAGTAATAATAATAACCACCTCATTTTATGAAGCAGTTTTGGACCTCCCTCTCAAGTAGAAGTATGATCAAGACATTATTGTTATATTTACCCATGTAAGGTATTTTGTTATAATAGCCCAAATGAATGAATTCTGTAGCCAACAAAAAAAGTTCCACGTCAGTTGACAGTTTACATCGAAGAGCCATGGAGACAGAACCGCAATTTTCATTTCATAGTTCACAGCATTCAACAAGGAACTGAAAAAGAGACAGTGGTTTCTTAAGTATTTTGTTGCAGGGCTTTTTTTCCTCCCCTAGAATTAAAAATCCATAAAACAATCAAAAAGTTGGATTTAATTTCATCTGGAGAGGAAAAAGAGAAAAGTGTGTCAGTGTTTTTAAGCTACCCCCAATTTTAAGAATTATTCAGTCTGTAAAGCTTCACATCCAAGTGTGATGATGAATTGTTAGTTGCCCTCTTTGTAACCTCAGGCCCTATAAAAATCAGGATTCCAAGGCTGGAGCAATAATACGAAGGTCAACTTCAGATATTTATAAAAATTTAAAGAATTCTATGGTAAATCCCAACTGTGCTGGACAACTTGATACAAAGCCAGATATTGGGGAAGAAAGACTTCAATTGAGAAAATGCCTCCATAGGACAGGCCTATAGGCAAGTATGTAGTAGATTTTCTTGACTGATGATTGATTTGGGAAAGCCCAGCCCACATGTCCTAGTTAAGGTTTTATTGCTATGAAGAGACACCATGACCAAGGTAACTTATATTGGGACAACATTTAATTGGGGCTGGCTTCCAGGTTCAGAGGTTCAGTCCATTATCATGGTGGGAAGCATGGCAGAGTCCAGGCAGGCATGGCACTAGAGGAGCCAAGAGTTCTACATCTTATTCTGAAGGCAAACAAGAAAAGACTGGATTCCAGACAGCTAGGAGAAGGGTTTCAAAGCACACCTCAACAGTGACACACTTCCTCCAACAAGGCCATACCTCTTAATATTACCACTCCCTGGACCAAGCATATTCAAACCACCATACCATGTGGATGGTCCATCCCTGGGTAAATTGTCTAAGGTAGAGATTCAAGCCAGTATGCAGCACTTTTCCTTGGATTCTTCTTCCCTTCCTGCCTTGACTTCCCTTAGTGAAGAAATTGTAACAAGAAATAAACCCTTTTCTCCCCAAGTTGCTTTTGGTCATGGTTTTATCACAGCAATAGAAGAGTAACTGAGACACTAATACATTATACGATTTGTTACATTTATTAATATGTTTTGGGGGAAGGGAGGCATGCACCATGGAGCACATGTGAAAGTCAGGACAACTTTCAGGAGTGGATTTTCTTTCTACCATGTGGGTCCCAGGGCTTGAACTCAGGTCGTCAGGCAGAGACATCTTCCAGTTATTACTCTATTTAAAAAATCATCACTTCATAATCTGTCTCTCCTATAATCCCACCCACTCCCCACTTCCCATATTAATTTGAGGAATTTTATGTGTTGTGTCTCTGAGGATTTCAATGCTACTTCTAAAGGATACATTTTAGTCATAGGAACACTGCCATAGAAATATGAAGAAAAATGCCTTAGTCTCAGCAAATGGAAACGATTGAAAAAATCCAATTGTGTTATAAATGCAAATTTTACACATTGTTTATTTGAAACCAGATCCAAAGAAGGGCACATTCTTGGAAGACGAGCAGTCATAAAGCTGAAGCAGGACTTGAGTTCAAAGCCAGCTTGAGCTACATATTTTAAGTTCAGCTTGAACTACATGGAGAGACCCTGTCTTAAAACAACAAACAACAGAAAGACC